CTTTCTTCGAACCGCTTCGCTGCTTTCGCCGATTCGCTGAAATCGAAAACTTGGACGAGCGTATACGCGTCGTCCATCCTTCATTGCACGCACGCTGCACCCACTGAATTCCAGAATCGAGCGAGCCCCATCGAAGAGGCCTGCGATAACCGACGACAAACCGTACATTTTTATGAGGCATTAGATAGAGCCGATCTCCGCTCGCGTTCCATCGCGGCACACACAATTTTCCAAGAATCTTTAACCGGGGAATTTGCATGAGAAACGGAACGAAGTTCATATCAGATTCGTCACTGCCGATGCAAAAAGAAAAGAGAGGGATTGCGTGCGAATACCACGAAAAGAGAGAGAGAGAAAGGAAAATCTAGACGTAAGGGGAACCGGGATCTTCGTTGAATGTGTCTCGAGGATCACAGGATCGTACCAATATGCCTTGATACCTCGTTACATGAAGAAACTCGAGAGGATTCGGATAGGATACATGGTAACCCTTTTTACGAGAAGAGAAAGTCGTATCGGTGACAGATACGAAATAAAAAAGAAAAGAGAATCTTGATCAAAGAAGTATCGAGGTTCTTCTGTAAGCTCTTCTTTTTTTATTCAGGTTACGATAAATTTGAAATCTTGGTCGATGAAATTAGATACGTATCTTTCGAAATAAAAAAAAAAAAGAGAGAGAATCAAAGGAATATCGAGATTTTTTCTTTTATTCAGATTGCGACAAATTTGAAATTTTACCTATTTCAAATAGTATGCAAATTTTACGACATCTTGGAGAAACTTCTGACCGTAGGGGGTCAATTATAAAATCGAGCCGATCGTAGATGAATGGAAAAAAAAAGATTACAATCGTGTATTTTATGTATTTTCCATCGTTTACAACAGCGTATAAAAAGATTTAGGACTTAGTCAAACGACCTTCGTTCAATGTAATATTATAGAGATGATTTTTAATAGACCTGATAAATCAATCAATCAATAATTCTGGTAAAAAATACGATTCGTAGCAACAAAATAGCTTCCAAGAATCGAATAGAGATTGTGAATAATGTCTCAAGAAAATTAATTTACTGGATGATTAATCATTTGGATCTGATTCTATCAGGATCTATAAGGTAATTTCGAGGAATTCTATGATCAATCTTTCCGTAACGAGAATTTCCCCCTTCTTATCCGGTTTTTTATGCAGTCGGAGTTTACGCGGTACTTATCGGCACTTACATAATTAATGGCGCTAAACAGCTGTAATTGGCGCCGCACGTAACGCGCATACACTTGCGATAACATTGTTCATAACATTGTTCGATCAAACGTGTACGAGGAAAAAAATAAGTTCATTATCGTTGTCACATTGACGCGCGTGCGTGAAAATCGTTAATTTAACGAAGAAATTGCAGCGAAAACTTTAACTATTCTTTGTGTATGCATTATGCAAATATTGATATTTCTAACGCGATACTTTATGACGCGAAATACACGCTAACAACGAGGCATGCGGAAGAACGCGTGAGCTCGCGGTTGTCGCGATTTCTTGGTAACAATAAAATTAAATCTTCGCGTTCAAATGAAATTAACGTTTACAAATATATTGACAATTTGATAATTTGCTTTGCTTAACTAGAAATCGACCGCTTATCAATAAGATTCTTTTGTACTCAACTAATATCAAGATTTTATAAATTATAATCTAACTTAAATAACTTTACAAAAAATTAAACCTATCTTTATTACAATTATCTAAAAAAAAAAAAAAACTATTATAGCTAAAACTTTTGCGTTTGTATTTTTTTGATACGGTATACTATTAGCACGGTTATCATGTCATAAAGATTATTAACACATACTAATTGCACGTACTCGAGTACACGAAAAAGCAATTGAACTGAAAAGTAGAAATGCCAAAGGGGCACTACAACCGCGTAACACGCCACTGGAGTTATCCCTCGCCGCGCGACTGCGGCGCGAATGGCAAAAAGGCTTAACCGCATTCCGGCGACCATTTAAACCGCCGCGGCGGGGTCCCACGCTTGACCGCAAGCAGCGAGTCGACCGGCCGGCCGGCTATC